AGTTTTCTCCCTCGTTGTTTTAGTCCTTCCCGATGGTTTTCACCAAGTGTGTGACAAACCTCTGAGGCCATTGCAGAAAAGCTGGTTTTATACATCAACACAAGTGGATTATTTATTATTTAGGTGACTTTTGAAGGGGCTTGCTGCAAAAAAAAAAAAAAAAAAAGATGTATAAAATAAGAGGGGCCTCTGTATCAATGTCCCACTATTCATACATTTGTGGATGTAAAGAGGCAAAATCTGAAAAAAAAGTTAAAAGGAAATGAATACTTTTGTGAGGTATTGCCACATCAGAATAATATTGGATGTGTAATGCCTAGTAGGAGTAAGGGAAGGTGTGTATTTTAAAAATAAATAATAATAGCAAAGATATAAATAGAGCAGTTATATTTCAGGATATAAGAGCTCCACAGTAACCAAATGTAACTAAGAAACGTTTATTATAAATTCAAAAATTCAAAATTCTCTTCACTGCTCACTCTGATGATTGAGCCACCTATTTTTAACAAGGCCGCCATTCTACTTTTCATCTCCAACCACAGAAACATCAATCAAAAGGCTGCGGGCTACAAGTGCATCTTAGAGAGAAGCACAACCTGAGACTAGAAGTGTAAAAGGGATCGTTGAAAGGGCCAAAAGGGAAAAACGGTTGTACAAATCACAATGGCTGTGCATGTCTGCCATCGCCTTCGAGGCGACAGGAAATTTCAGCTGCACTCGATCCTCAAACTGACTAGTTTCAAGTAATTTCCTCTGGACTGCTATGGCAAGATTGAGGCCCATCTTACCTGCCGATTGAGTTGAGGCGCACCGCGGAGACGCCACCAGACACAAATGTGACGGAAGTCTGCAAACGGCTCCTGTAAGTCAGATTCCCACTCTGCATGCAAAACCCAGAGCACATGAGAGGAGGGTGACGCGAAGCAACAACAACATGTCAAAATAAATTTCAGGCTCAGAAAAAAAAAAAGAAGGGGAGTGTGAGTGAAGTGTGGCGTCATACTGCGAGAGAGGTGGCAGTGACTTTTGCTGCAGTGGAGAACAGCAAGTGTGTGTGGAAAAGAATGGAAATATTGTTTTTTCTTCAGATTATTTATGGATGACAGCACTATTGCGTGAAACTGTGCTTACAACACTTCTCCGGTTTCCCCCATAGAAATCCACATCGCTGTGCAGCAGCTGTCTCCCTGCTCTTTTTCCATTTCCCTCCTCCAGTTATTCAGTCTTGAGGCGCCGTCTTGCCTCTCGCTCTGCTGCAGGCTAATTACCTGCGACGCTCGGGAAAGAAGATGAGGAGGAGATTCCCGAGCGGAAGTGACAGGTGTCTTTGTCCCTCTGTAAACAGCCATTACTCCCCCCCCCCCTGCTGCCTTCCACTCCGGACTCCTTAGTGTGCCATGAGTGTCGGCGTAAATGACGAATCTTTTCAAGGCCACTTCATTCTTGACATCAATTCCAATAAATCCAGAATGGGAACCAAAAGTGTACTTACTGTCTCCATCTGCTGCCACTCGTAAATTGCCATTCTTCTCATGACTCAATGTCTTGCAAAGAGAGGCCTATGTATGAAACGGCTACACTTATAAACAAACACCAGAGCCTTGTTTCTAAATTTAACGTTACAACCAGGAACCAGGGAACACCTACAGTGACTTGCGAAAGTATTCGGCCCCCTTGAATATTTCAACCTTTGCCACTTTGCAATGTTAACACAGGAACATTCACGAATAAACGTATCCAGGTGACAGAGTTTTCTTGTCTGAGAAAATACAGCGAGATCCATTATCCACAAAGCACCGACAAGCACATTGTACCAGTGAATACAAGATTTATTTAGTGGCAACTGCAGCTCAAGACAGAGTAGCTGTAAACACTTGAATCCAAATGGCTGCCCAATGATTTGCCAGGTCACGGCAACCATTAGCAGTCACTTAAATAAGTTTATGCAACTCTAAAATCTGATTTCTTCCCCTTTACATTTTTTTTTTGTTCTAGCAATGAATAAATGAATGAATAATTCATTTATAAAGCACTCTTCACAGACACATCCACAAAGTGCTGTACAAGACATAAAGATCATAAAAATCTAAACCACTGTCTAAAAGAGCATAAAGGCAAGAGGAGACAAGCTAATAAAGCTCAAGATTAATATTAAAAACATAAATTCAAAGCAGATTAGTGTCCATGCTAGTGTAATGCTTGCCAAATGCCTGGACAAATAGAAGTGATATTTAAAAGAAACTAGTGATTCAACCAAATGCATCTGCAGAGACATGTTGTTCCACCCCCTGAGGTCACAACCTGAAAAGCTTGATATCCTTTAAATTTCAGCTTTGTATGGGGAATGACTAATATGTAAAAACATGAAAATGGAGAAAACTGAGTGTTTAGTCAGAGGATTAGACAGAAATTCTTGTGCCAAACCATTAACCGCTTTAAAACCAAGCACTATTATTTTAAAATGAATGCTGAACTCCACAGGGAGCAAAGCTAGCACATATAAAACAGTTACATCAGAATATTTTAATAAACAGCATTTTGCAGCATTTTTGATGACTTGCACACACTTTAGTTGTGTCTTTTGTAGTGACATTAAACAAGTCCATAAATAAATTGTTTCCACTTCACTGCATGGAGCAAAATGTTTGAGATGGATTTAAGAATCCAGTATTAGGTTGGAATCAAAACACTGGACTTAGTGGATGTACAGAATAACGCATGTGTGGCTAACGTAAGAACCTTTGTCAGATGAGGATATTATCACTTTTTCTGTTTTACTGGGAGATACATGTGAGCCAGACATATTAAGTTGATATGCTAACAAACATAAGTGATTTAAAAGAAAAAAAAACTGTACATCATAAGTGTAAAATCTGAACAAAGCAACCACAGTCATGTTGAATAAATTGGGATATATGCTCAGAGTAGGTTTAAGCCTTTTAGGAGGGATGAAACATACCTTTAGCTCACATTTGTATATATTTTTTTTATTGCTTTTAAATATTTTAATCTTATAAGATATTAAATCATTGTTCTGAGTCAAATCTGGTAGTAGAAGAGTGAACTAGTGCATGTTTGCTGCTTGAGGACTTGTGCAGCTTGCTGTAAACGATCAAGCGGTGAGTTCTGGTCAGCTGTCGGCGAATCCTGAAGGAGAGAGACCGGCAATGAGCTCTCTGTCTTCTATGGAGGTTTTGCTGTGGCCAAGTTAAAGTCTGGATTTAAAACCGAATGAGATGATGTGGTTCAATGTCACACAAGTAACTCTCTAATATTGGTGAATTAAGACTAGTTATCTGGGATGCAAAGAAAATTGTGCAAATATTCCGCCACTGGAATATAAAAAAAGAACACTATTTTGTATCAGGTGGCGGGTTCTTCTTCATATAGGACTGGACTAAATCATTATTAATTTGTTGATTATATTACTATATTTCATAATCTGAAATATTAATATTTAATGTTACAAAAAAAAACAGAAGAAATATGTGAAACAGAAAACATATTTTAATGATTTAACGACCAGGCATATTTTTTCAAAAGTCTCTAGTATGACATAACCGATTTGTCCTAGCAGGAAACCAAAGAGAAGACACCAGCCAAAGACACCTCAAAGTGGATACGCCTCAGCGGCTGAATGTTGCCAATCAGAGGCAATTACTGCATGTTATGCGGCACAGCAGCACGGCGCGAGTGTAAATAAATTCCCAGCATGGACAATCTGTTTATGAGAAAGGCCGCTGCCCTTATCAATGGTTCTGTCTACCTCAGCAGCCTGTCCAGTGATATTAAGCTCCTTTTCAAAGCTTGAACGGAAAGGCGAAGGGTTGAAAATGTAAATAGACACAAGCCTGAGGGGATTCTGTGGGAGCACAACCCACATAACGATCTGTCAATTTAATAGCGTGTAGGAGAGTAAGAGTAGAGATGGAGAGAAATGCTTTCTTCCCCTGCTCATTAATAGCCACAGAAATGAGATTTATAGTTTTCTGGCGTCTGTCATTAACTGGTTGGAAATAAATAGGCATGTGTGTGCTGGGTTGTATTTTGATCCAGAGGGGTGGACGGAGCATTAAAAAGAATAATTTTCTATTAGTTACCACCATCTGTTAGATTTGCTCAAAGGATGAATGTTTCATTTGGTGCTGAGTACAATCCAATATTAGCTTGAATGTTATCCTGCCTTACCTCCGTAAAAAAACACTAACGATGAAGTATTTCTGCCTGTGCGAACACAAAAAAGGAGGCAGTTAAAATAAGTCCTAGCCTTCAAACTTGTTTGGTTTTCTAAAAAAAAAAAAGATAATAAAAAATTATCTGCTTTTTCCCGGCAGAGACAGAGAGAGTTGGGGTTCAATACACAGCGACACCAATTAGTGGATAAATAACGGCGCGGCCAGCAGAAGCGTCTCCCGCAGTCTTTCTCCCCTCGCTGGTTTCCCTGGAACCAGCCGATCAGATCCGCTTTTCTTCACGGCCTGAAATTTAAGATCGGAGGGCGGCACTAACTCATCAATGCCTGCGTTTCCTGGCCACAGCATAGGATGAAGTGCCCAATAACCGGGACACATTACTAGGTCTAGTCGTCCAAGGCAGCACAGAGACTCGTCTTTTTCAAGTCCTGCAGTGTGACAGGAAAATAGTAATTTTTTTAATTTATATATTTAATCCAATTCTGCTGATCTGACTTCAGCAAACGCGATAATATCCGGCATCGCTGTATTTGTAATGACTAGGAGCAGGCGAGTTTTCACTCATAGGTCAGTGGGCTACAACAGGAAGGAGGAGCACACGAGAAGCCTTTAGGCTTAGACAGCTTTCTGCAGAGGGAGAATTTAACAAGATAATAAACTGACAGCACTATTTTGCAGCCAAAATAATAAAAAACAAACAGTGTGTGAGGTAGAAATCTCCAGTTTGCCCCCTATGAAGGAGTGAAAACCGTTGATGAATCTACCTTTTAAAAACAGAGCAATTTCACAATAACTATAGCAGCTTACCCATGCAGTTCTTTGAGAGAAACGGAGATCTTGACATCGTGTCCAAGCACGTGGAGAGCGGTGAGAATGTCGGCCCATTGCACCATCTCACCCAGAGGACCGCCCTTCAGTACCTTGGGACTGAAAACGTCTCCAGACTCCTCGGTCAAAAAGCCCACATGGACTAAAATCTGAAGAAAAAAAAAAGAAAGCTACTAAATTTTGAGTTTGTGCAGATCACAATTCCTTATTTTTACAGGTTCAAACAAGGTTCAAACAACTTTTTAGTCAATTTCTGAAAAAAATAAACACGTTTGATTGACAGAGGAGTATATTCATGGATGGACACATTTGAATAATACCAATATCCTTTAATGCCACATTTTCTTCTCATAGTTATCCATACCTTGAAAATATGTTAATCAAATTGAAGAGTTTTCCTGACTTCCATTTTTCAGGACAGAAAGAAGAAAAAAAAAGCAGGCATCCATGCAGTTTTACGGTTTATTTTCTGTTTACTGACACTGGAATAGATTAGGGTCTAACAGAATTAAGATATCAAACACGACTCACTGGTCACGTTTTAATTTAATTGTGACTCTAAGAGTAATGGAAAAAAAGCAGACTGATGATTTCTTTCTACTATAACTCCAAGAAAACACAATCAACTCTCCATGAATCTGAAATTAAAATTGACCCGTGGAGTGCTAATTTCTTCCTACAGTAATACATGAGCAGTTTAATTGCTGATGGGGAAAGATACAATTCCCTGCCTGTTAAATAGTTAATAAAATTAGACTTTTTAACAGATTTTTTTTTCTTTTTTTTTACTCCAGCCACACATTTGTCTCAGACAAAACTTTTAGTAAACACTCACAGGAAATGTTCTCTGTCAGTTTGGATATTCAGTTCAATAAATGTTTTAAATCTCTAAGCATTAATCACTGCCACAATAGTGCAAAACACAAACAGGGAAAAATAAAACGTGGCCCCTCTATCAACCAGTTTTCATCATCCAAAGTGATATTTGCCAATTTTGTTTCTTTATCCATTGGCAAGAACAGCATCCTCTACATTTGTTTAGCTTCAAACATGGGAAAAAATTAAATGAAAAAAATATTTATGTTGTCCCACAAACACACCCAGAAATATTTAAACTGTCTAAGCAACATAAACTTTAGGTCTTTAGATTTTTCTTAAATTATCCCAATGAATTCATGAAATCTAATGTTGATAAAACATTTATATTGATAATTATTTTTGTGATTTATGTAAAGGAATGATCTTCAAAGATCAGCATCAGAGAACTTCAAAGTCTAGTTCTGCGCCAATAAAGTATGAATAGTTTGAAGATGAATCACACTTTTTTTTTCTTTTTTAACCAGGAGCGACAACTACTGAAGGGGTTAGTGATGAGGGCAATGAAAAATGTTGGGTGAATAGTTTAAGATACATAAACTTGGCAAAGATTTATGGAAATCCTCCTCACTGTGTGTAGTGGTAAGATTGACTTGGCTCCTTGTTCGGCCTTGTTTGGCTCAGTTCCTGTTGTTTAACGCTTTTGAATTATTGTTGTGATCATAAAAGCACAAAGTTTAAGCAAGTAGCTTGTCTTCGTGGGGTCACTGGTTGACTCATGAAGATCAACACAAATCTGTCTTACCTGAATGTCTTGTCCGTGTCTCCCCAATTTTAAGAGCAGCAATCTGATTGGAGAGGAAACGGGTCTTTTTGCCAAATCATATTGGTACATTGGGAGGGAGGAAGTCATTTATTACTAAAGTTAAACTGTCTGTTGAACGATATAGTATTTTTTTATCACTGTTTGATATACATCCAACAAACGAAGCTTGCCTGATTGAAGACACCACCCTCAAGTTTCCCCCAGAAAATTTGCTAAATGCAAACATTTAAAAATAAATGAACAATGCTAAGCCTGGTGGGGGCACAAGTAAAGCCTGGTTACCCGCCAGGCTTATAATACACTCGCGGAAACCCTGATTCCAACTGTGAAACATAGAGTTGGAAGTATCATGTTATTGTAGTATTTTTGCTTTAGGTTGGACTGGTGTTTTTTACACTGTGCATGGATGATGAGGAAAAAACATGATGTGGAAATTCTAAAGCAACGCCCGAGTTGTGGCACAAATCACCAGATTTTGGGCCATATATAAATATCTGGTTTCCAATCATGTTCTGTCCAGTAAGTTTAATATTTCAACATGCTAAAAGGGAAGTTGGTGCAAAAAGTAATCTATGTGTTGCTGTTTTAATTTAAACAATAAATAACCATTGACATCTTATCTCAGATACAGCCGAACCAATACAAGATAAAAAATGTGAAAGCTTTTATTCAGAATTTAAAAGATTATGTTCACAAGTTCAGTTTTTTTAAACATCTTTCAATGCACACAGGAAGAAAAGTGATTTATGGTAGGAGGATGATAATGATGACAGATAAAGTGTGAGTTCATGCTGGACTGGTGTATTTCAGTGTAGATCTCAGTATAAACATGGCTGTGATGTCCATGAAGTGTTTAATTTGTTTTGATTGTATGCTATAAAACGTACAATCAAAGCATTTACAAGTGCTTGACTGGGGATAAAGGAGTTTCCAGGGAGCCTAATAAGACTCAAAGATGCACGCCCGTCTCAGTTATGTGAGCCGTTTCGCTCATTATAATGTGATTCTGGCATTAACAAGAAATCAAGGAAAAACCTCTTCCTTTCGGACTTCTGCTTTTGAACACCATCATAGAGAGAGATAATGAACATTTTGTCAGCGTAGACCAAAGCAAGTGATTTGTTCTTCCAGACATCAGCCTCTCACCACAGGAATATGATCACTTCTAATCAAGTCAAGTCATATGACTCAGCGGAGAGAGTAAGCGGTAAATACTGGCTGCTCGATGAATTACTGGCTGTCCAGATCCTAACAACAGCATACTGGAGCATAAAGATGACAAACAAACAGACTGGTACGAGATGTTCTGTAAAACATCTCCCCACCACACAAATCTATTCATTTCTGTTCCTGTTGCAAAGCTCAGTGTCGGAGCAATGGAGGCAAAGTCTGGAAGGTTCTGCTGATTGACAGTAACCACTTCTGTCAAACATATCATTACAGCAAACAAAGCTGTCTCTCTCATAGGAGGACAATGACTCTTCACGCAACAATGGCACTTTTACCCTCTACGACCTAATTTTCAAATGTCCACCTGGACATTTTTGCTTATTTTTGTTGTATGCAGTTCTTTAAATGTCCTGTGAATAAATATATTTGACCACTTATCCAGAACAGCTGGAACTTTCAACATCTAACAAGTTATTTTCGCCATTTACGTCTATTAAACTAATACCCCGATTAATTTCACTCCCTGCTAGGGCTGGGATAAAATTACTGTAATAACCCGATATTGGCAGAAAAGTGTAACGTCTCCCCTCTTAGAAACCGTTGGAAATTTTCAGATAACGCAAAATGTGGCGGAATTACGGTACTGCAAATTTTGCTGGACGAGTTCACGTGTTGAGTTACGCATCAACTTGATCAGGGTATACAACGCCCATTTTTTAGAAAAACAATAATTTGTTATAAATATTTCTGAAATACGCCTTGTAAATATCTCATAACCTTGCCATTAGATTGTCTAATGAGACGCTTTTTTCTTAGAAACTCGGTGGAAATTACCCCGTAAATGTCAGAGGTGAAAGCGTGCAAAAGCCGATGAACGTCTGCAAGAGGCTCCTATCTGTCATTATCTTTTTACGCCTTTTACTCAGCATTGTGTGATTCACTCCAGGCGGCCATAGATAAGAGAGGAAAATATTAGTCCAAGAAAATGTCATACTGTTCGGGGAACTCAGCAGCGAGGCTTAAGGGCATTAAAGGACTGTCTGGCTTCCTTGTACACGACTCATCCAAAGACGTATAATGAGAGAGACTTTTGTTCTCCTCTGTTGAATCACCAAATAGATTTCAAGAGTTCTAGGAAAACTACACAAAAGAAAGTGAGAAATCTACCAAAATAAGCAAGAAAAAATAATTTCTTGTCAATTCATATAAGAAAATAAAAAAACAAACAAATATGTTTGTCTTTTTGAAAGATATTTATGAAGTGCTGTTTACTTTCAGAGGCAGAAGATCGAAAGCATTTGGTAGGGGAGCAGCACCACTTGACCCACAAAAATACAATAATGGTAGTTGTGTGAGGGAATAAAACCAGGCTAATGTAGAGTAATAAATAATTGTGACGTGGACAAGACACTATTTTTTCCTTTTTTTTTAAACAGATAAAAGTCTTAGAAGTTTGTGGCATGTATTTTCATTGAACCTCAAAATCTAATCCTGTACTTTTACTATGCCACTATCATAGAAAAAATACTTTGATTTATACTATCCCAGTGTAGCTCTGACTGTATGTTGAAGGTCGTCACTGTACTGGAAGTTAAAAACTTACATCTCAGTGTGAAATCTTTTGCATCTTCCCACAGGTTGTTTTCCCTGCTTTTATCCGTGCAATCTTCCCATTATTAACTGGATACAGAACATCGCCTCAGCATGCTGCTTCAACATGGGGACAATCTGTTCTCATCATGATGTCCAGTGTTAGCTTTCTACTAATCATAGAAGTGTTTACAAAAACATGTCAGACATTAACATTGTTCAACAAAGAACAAAAGAACAACTAGGTTTTAGTTAGAGGAGTCAGTGGGGTTAAATATGAATGCAAGCCACACTTTTCAGATATTTAAGTAAAAATAAATGTTGAAGACTGCATTTTTTTTCTCTATTTGACAGCATTGCACTATTTTGTGTTCATCTGTTTCATAAAATTGCTATAAAACACATTGTTTTGGTATGTAATGTAGCAGTATAAACAAACAATAAAACCGTATTAATGCAGGGCACAGCATGCGCAGCAGCAAACACTTCTTTAGTTATTCGTCTGCTCAGCAGTTGGTTTTGTGGTTTCTCCTCTGAAAAAGCTCATCTGGAAATCTCTGCGCATCACCAAAGGTCATCCTTGTCTTTCTCATATAAATGGAGCAAAATAAAAAAACAATAAGCCCATATTTTCTTAACAGGAGTGAGACCACAGGAGATGTGCATGTAACCATTTTCAAATTGGCTCCTAGGAAAACCCCTCATATGGATTCAGAAAGTCTTCCACCTGAGCCACCTTGAAAAGAATTTCACACCTTGATCCGATAGTGTCTGCAAAAACATAAATAAATAAATAAATAAACCTCTGTGTGTGTGTTTGTGTGAGAAAGACCCCCGTTTACCCTTTTCTGCTCTCTCCAGAGGCTGCGGAGTTTCTCATCCAGCCGCCGGGCAGCGGAGGCCCACTGCGCCGACAGCCTGCGTATGCGTCTCCTCATGAAGCTCAGAGACTCCTTTCCGGTTCCCACCTGCTCCAGCAGACTGCCAATGTCGGACTGGAAAACAGCCTGGATGAAGGAGCGAGAAGAACAATGTGAACGCAGAGACTCTCCTTAAAAAAAGTTGGTGTGTAAATTTAAAGACGTCCTTCTGTGTGAACCGTCATGGAGCCTTAAGACTATAGGAACAAAGCAGAACAGAACCGACGCGGAAAAATGACAAGATGAGTCTATTCTCTTTGAGAGAGATATTTTCTATTATTGGAGCTGGTTAAAACTCCGGTAGTGCAGAGAGCATGTCAAATTGTTATGTGTTTGTACCCTGGGGCAAGGCTTTTCCAGCTGGAAGCCTGAGGGAATCCCAGTTTTTACCTCATAAATGGCCTGTCCACATGTGTAGGTCCTGCATCACAGCACGTTTTCCATGTGATTCCTTCATCTTTGTGAAGGGAAAACATTTCCTGAAATAGGTGCCGAAAACGCATTCTCTGTAAGGAAATGTAAATTCTTGCGAAGGTATTGTACGCTGCCGTCACTGATGTTTTTCTATCTCTCCCCAGAACGTCCTGTGTACAGCTCAGTAAGATGTAGAACGCCTTAAGAAAAGCCTTTGGGATTTATCCCTGAGGAAGCAGGCCAGCAATTAGAGCAGAAAACAGAGCTTCAAGGGGAATTAACATCAGTTCCCATCATGGCAGCTGTACATAACTGTGAGGGGAGAAAAACAAGGAGGAGGAGGAGATGGAGGAGACAGCTGGGGAGGCCCTCGCAGAGTAACAGTGTCGGGTCAGAGCATCGTGTTGTTGATGCATAAAATACAGTAATTAAACGAGTCAGAAAATCAGCTGATGGTGAAAACTGGAGGAGACAGCCAGGTATATGTGAGGAAAAACAGCTGTGTTCATGCACTGTCTAGTGTCGGATTAAACAAATCATCCTGTGGCATATTGTGAACAAGTTTTCACACATTTAGAAAAGATTTCAAAAATGCACTTAGCATTTGGTGAATACAAAGCAACATGTGTTTCCTCGGTAGAGACATCTGCCTGCAGTTTTCTATCCACCAAAAGGTTTTTTCTTTTATAATCCAATTCCTTTTCCATGGATCTCCTTCTAATTTGCTCAGAAACAAACCGCTAATGTTCTTCAGCTCAGCTGTGAAGCCAGATTTCATGTAAAGAGGTAGCAACTATTAATTAGTACTTTCCGGGGACTGAACAAATGTGTTTGCATTAGCAGTCAAATGCTTCCACTTGTAATGACACCGTTGGTCTGCTTGTTTCTCCTGTTCAGCCAGCTGTCTTATTGCAGAAATAAAACTAATGATCTAGAAGTTTTTTGTTTTTTTTCTGTACCTGTCTTTTGGGAAGAGGCTTCAGAGTCGGTGTAGCAGTTTGGTTCCTCCAGGGCAGCGGGGGGCAGAACCACTCCACCTCGCTCAAGTAGATCAGGAAGGAGCAGTCGGAGCCGTCGACGCCGTAAAACGCGTAGCAGGGATCCGAGGTCCAACGAGCACGCATCCACTGGAAAGGCATGATAGTTATTTGTCTCAAGGATGAAAAGAATGTAAATATTTAATAGCAGACTAAATATGTGCTAAATATGCATCACAGTAAATGTAGAAATCATTGGAAAAGTCCATTTGTTCCTGTGATTTAGGTCAAAAAGTTTATTTCCGTTAATAACCAAAAACAATAAAACAGGTGTGTTATGATTTGGCCTAAACACATAGTACAGGTACAGCAGTTCATCACTAAAGAAGTTAGTTGTTCATATGCTGATGTAGCCAAGCACTTTAACAGAAAGTTGAGTGGAAGTAAACTGTGTAGGACAGAGGTGTACAAAATTGTGAAATAGCCCCTTAAAACTAGTCTGAAGACTAAAGGAAATTTTGCTTTTCATTTGGAAATCAAATTCCTGTAAAGGAAGTGTGGAGAAAACATAATCCAAGTTTTCCTCAGTTAGTGGTGATTTAGGTAGCGGTATTATCGGCTGGTTTTGACCCTGACTTCCTTTAAATCTCAACTAAAAACACACCGGTTCAGAATTGTGTTTGAAATGTAATATGTAACAATGTATTGTTTATTCCATGATGCATGACTTTGTGTTTTTGTGTTTCTGATGTAAAGCACTTCGAAATGCCTTGCTGCTGAAATGTGCTATACAAATAAAATTTGATTGATTGATTGATTGATTGACTTACGTTGCTTCATCAAGTCCAAAAGAGTACAACAGTCTATCCGCCCTACTGCACTCAATCGCTCAGGAAACACTTAGCCAGAGCTAAACTTCGTAGAGAATCTATGCATGATTGTCAAGAAGCAGCTGGGAGACGTCAGAGACAACAACGTAGATGATCAAAGGTTTGCTGCTAAAGCATCGTAGGCCAACTCAACAACTCAGCAGTGCCAGAGGCTCAGGGTCTCCATCCCACACTGCGCGGATGCAGTAATTTATGTAAAATAAGTGCCAAGCAAGTATTGATTGCATACTCTCCAGTACACAGAGGTACCGATCAGCAGGCCCACATTTCTGTGTGCAATTTTTATTCACTTTTTTTTTTTTTTACAGGTCTAATATAAAATATTCTAAAAAAAAAAATATTGGGTTTTTTTATTAGATGGAAGTTATAATCATCTAACTACACAGATTTCTGAACCATCTTTATGTTCCATGTTTCCATTTTTGGAGTTGAACTACTGAAATAATTTAAATTTGCAATAAAACTCTTGATTTATCGCAATCCAATAAATGTTAACTTTTATAGTAATTCAACATTTCATCCTATGCATACAGGGTAAGATTTCAAATTCACAGATCTACCTAAAAATATATATTTATTAAGGTGTCCTATAGCTGAGTGTTTTTGCTCCTGACATGGTGTTCCTCTTCTGCAGTGTTTCTATCTCATCATCTGAATTACATGGTGCAGAATTACACAACAATCTCTTGGACATTCTTCAAAATGGGGAAGACAAGACAACAGCCCATTCAGGAAGGCAGAAAATTACTACAATGAAGTAGCTGCTAACCTAAACCTGACCAAATTTAAATCCAGAGCAACAAATAAAACTTAAAAAAAATATAAAAATAAGTATAACTCTTACAAACAAGACTGAAAAAACCCCCAATGTTTTTCAGTGTGACTGTTACTACAATAAAAGATGTAATCTATGTCTTTTTGTATATCTTTATCAGCTGCTAATAAACGTTGAGGACGTTGAATGATAAGTTAACAATATGTCTGTCCATGAAGCTTTATTTTCCTTCCTTTTCTTGCTGCAAACAGACTTGTCAGACATGTCACTTTTGCAGTATCATTACGCATTCAGCCATTTTTAAGAATTTATGTTGCAGCAAGGTGAGTCGGTTTGGGCGAATACTTGTTGTGGGAAATGTTTCAGGCTTACATCCATCTTGCTGGTGCAGTCTGGATAATGGGGATCCTTGGGAGTTTCACAGGATCCAAAGACTCCATCTTTACCTGTAAAGATAGGGACATAAACATGCACACTTAAGGATTTCCCATGCTTCACTGCTTTAATGATCTTTAAAAATGAAAATTAGGAAAACCCAACTTTGATATGTGGAGTTCATTCATTTTTTATAGGGGTAACTCCATTGGCATTTCAAAACCTTTTGGTTTGCCTGCTTTATCAATGTCATTATCAATTCTGATGTGGGGTTGAGATAAATGACCTGTTGTGTCCTCCAAAGATACTTTGTGATTCTGGTCAAGTAGCTCAATCTTTATCTCCTCTGACCATAAAAGCTTCTAGCCAGGAGGTATTTGTCCATGTGTCTTTCCAATTTCATCACAACTGAGGACAAGGAGCTTGAAATTGCTTCAGGTTCTTTCTTAAATTGTCACATAAATGTTTTCTGGTACATCGAGTGTGCTGATTTCACTCGATGTCCATTTTTACATCAAATCACCTTCTCACCTCAAATTAATTCAAATGATTGCAATTCAATAAAATTGTAATGTTTCAAATCCCTGCTGTTTTTACTTCAGGGAATTCTTCACTTAAGTTAACTCCACTCAATCCAACACTAACAAAATAAAAGTCTGTTGTGATGTAATTTGCTGCCACTTCAATGCAGATCAGTGTAATCTCCGCAGCCTCATTCAGTGTTATTGTACTGAAGCTCTTTTCCTGAGCACGCGCAGTGAGAACTTCTTTTAATTACAGAACTTCAAGTATGAAAACTCAACAAGTATGAAACTCAAGGAAGATTGGTAATCTGTTGATTGTCACTGACTGAGAGACAGCAGCTGCAATGTCAGCCAAAAAAAAAAAAAAAAAAAGGCTGAATTTTGCCTGAATAAACTATATATGCACATTTTGTATGAATCTGCAGCATGAAATCTAAAGGGTTGAATCAGGGCCACTAAGATAAAGTTTTTGTTATGTTGGCATGTCATGTATATTGTCAACCTTAACTTAGTTGTTGGTGACATCTATCAGAATATTTTCCACTGGAATTGATTTATTTGAAACTGACATTTTCAAACGGTCATGCAAAAACAGATTTCGATGACGCGTCGTCGCCACAGGTTTTATGATGAGTGGCACTTCAGGTCATGTCAAGACAGAACGGTGGCCACAAAATGGAAATGCTGTGTTGACAACTGTGTTGATGTGCAAATGTAACAATAATAATAAAAAAAAAGTCTTCTTATTTGAAGGCATTTTCTACTGTCACTTTCCTGGCAGCAATAAAGGCTCATTCTATGACTTTCTGCTTGACTGGAAATACACTAATTATCCAAGATTGAATTTTATCTCTCTTGTTTAGTGTTTTACGATGACAGCAAATACAGAGCAATAAAAGTTTCCAGATTTTATGTTTCAGCATCAGAGTAAAAATTAATTTGCACTTTGATTTCTTTTCTTGTAAATATTACCTTAGAACACAAAAGCAAATCTTTATTCAAATTTGTTTCATCATATTTTATCTTCCGTGTAAAGATTTTTTTAGGTTCTATGTACACTTTTGTCATTTTTCTTCATTTCTTTTTCTGGCTCAACTTAGACTTTTTTTATATAACCTATTCATATTCCTCACCAAGCCAACAAGTCTGCAGACTACTGCAGCAGTAAAACACAGTTTAAGTATGCTATCACAACATCAAAATGCTAGAAACTTGTTTTTGAGGCAATAGTCACTCACTGGTTTGGGATTGTTGCCCCAAAGATTGAACTTTTTTTAATTTTTTGTCATCACAACATTTTTCTTTTTGTGTCCTAAGAGTCTGTTGGTCAATTCCCTGTTGGCTATTATGCTTTTAGCTCTTTTATTCAAGCTAGTTAATTGCACATAATGCACATCAAGCCAATACAAAGACTTCTGTGTACACCATTCACACTTTAAAAAAATCTAAATATAAACTACAATATAGCTTCTGTACATAAAGTGATAAGATATAAAAAGTGAATTGAAGAATGAACTATAGTGGAGCAAGACCAGCCTTTGTGAAGGATCGGTGAGAGTACAGACTATTGTGCAGCTTCTTCAGCTTAGCAGTGAAATTCATTTAAACAATAAAGCTGCAGAAACAAAGATTGATTGAGATGGGATAAATTGTGATCAGGTTTTACACTCTTAGCAAGAATCTGAACAGTGATATAGTAGAATATAGGTCAAGGGTCCCTACAGGGCTTTGTCTGAAAGTCTGTAGTAAGATTCACAGCACACATAAGTTGACTGACATATAGAGTTATATTGGTTTACAGTGGCTTGCAAAAGCATTAAAATGTAATGAAACGTTTAATTTTTCAAATTTTATTCACAAAAGTCAACGTATGCTTTTTAGACTTCAAGGGACAGACCAACATTTAATGTGTATTTGTGGGAAGGAACGCAACAATTCAGTTTAATTCAGCACTTTGAACTGAATTGTTGTTTATTTGTGCCGTGTTTTGAAAAACTTTTGCACAAATATAAATGTTAAAAGTGGGGCAATCATTTGTATTCAGCCTCTGTAGCAAATCATTTATTGAATCACTTTCCTTTGTAACAAAAGCTGCAAGTTTTTGGTGTGGGGTGTCGGTATCCCTGATCCCCCAGAGCGCCACTAAATCCATTATCATCAAATAGAAAGAATATTGTACCGCAACAAATGTGCCAACACATCCCCACCCACCACAAACTTTCACATCGGGCGAGGAAGGCATTAATCAGAGAGACAGCACAGAGACCAAAGGTAACCCTGAAGGTGCTTTTGGACAAATGAGACCAAAATCAAACTCTTCAGCCAACAAAAAAAAAAAAAAACTACTCTGTCTGGCACAAAATCAACACACCTCATCACCTTAAAAACACCAGCAGGGACTGGGATACTGGTTTGAATTGAGGGGAGGATGGATGCCGCCAAATTCATTGATATTTTTGGACAAAACTTGTTTAAGTCTGTCAGTCATCTGTTTCTGGGAGGATCACTTTCTAACCGGACAATGACCCAAAACTTACTGCTAACGCAAGGCGGTTTAAGGCAAAACATGTAAATACATTGGATTGGCCTAGTCAAAGCTCAGACCTAAATCCAATTCAAAACTTGTGGTCAAACTGATAGATTACTGTTTACCAGCAGAAACCAACAAGCTTTAAGGAGCTGGAGCAGTTTTGCTTTGAGGAGCGAGAACTTTCTGTCATTTTGTCACATTTGTTGTTTGCTAAAACATAAAAATGTTCAAAGTTGTGGGTATATTCTGTAAATTAAATGATACAAACCCTTTAAAAATCATTTTATTTCCAGATTGTGATGTAACAAAATCCAAAAAAATGCCAAGAGGGGTGAATACTTTTGCAATCCACTGTACATGATCACAGCACACTTTTCAAAATAGAATACAATTTTATACAAAAGAAAATCCTCAAAACGACATACTTTTGTGAGAATTTTGCATTAATATTGAAAGATCCAGAGAATTACACACTCTTTTAAAACTCCTCATCTGGAATAAGATTATTTCCAAGAATCCTTTACTTTCAGAGGTAAAAAAAAAAAGAAAAAAAAGGAGCTTGCAGCTCAATCACTGCAATAATTTAAGGTAAATTCAGGTGGCAACTTCTTGCTTTTAGTATCAATAATGCATCATCAGCAATGAGGGAAAGCAGACATAATTTGGAGAATTAGTCCAGTTAAGAAGCCCCCTTCCAGATTGACCTAGTAAGTCCAAATTGTTATTTTCTATAGATATTCCATATTAGAGTGAATCACCAATCCTCTCTTCTTCCCTGCCTCCTTATTTCTCTCTTCGCATCCTCTTTCCCTACTTCTGTCGATGACTAAATCTATCCTTCCTCCCTCTCACTGCCTTAACTCCTCGCCTCCTCTCCCTGATTTTTCTTTTCTTGAAGCTCAGCACGAGTACATCTAATTAAGGAGCGGTGGTGGCTCCTCCGCCGGCTTCTTCCGAAGCCTTAAAATGGCACAAATTCAGTTCATCTGACTGGCATGATAACGGCAGATTTCTCGTCAGAAAATCTGGCACCTCGTTTCTTTGCAAAAAAGCACAGCAAGGTTCACCCCATTTTGTTTTAATGGCATCAGACACACAGAGAGAAATGATCTGACACATTTTAATGACTGTGTCTTAAATTGTCTTCAGCCAGGTTCAGGGTGAGGATATAAAGCGGGAAATTAAATCATGAATTCAATCACGCTGTCTGATTTCTATTTTATGCACTATAAAGTAGCTGGGAACAAGAGCTATTAATGAACGCGACATAACCCGGACCTGATTAACAAGATGGCTGTTCATCTTTGGGATCCGAAGGTGCTACAGAAGGCAGTTTACTACGCAATATGGCAGCAACACTGCTGCCTGAATAGAGGATAATCAGTAAATAATGACTGTCATAGATGGTATAATCAACCGGCATGTACCCAGAGTATTGAAGCGCACGGGTGAGATCGCTTAGCATTACAGCCCAGATTCAGAGTGGATGTGCTGCCGACTGACAGGTGTGTTTATCAGACGGGTTGAGGCTGTGTTTGATGTTCTCTCTGTGTCCTCTGCATGTGCACACATGCGTGTTTTAAAGCTGTACCTCGGCTGTGGACCACGCTGCGCTGCAGGATCTGCTCCACCCGCAGCGCCATGTCCGACATGTTCTGGGCTATGGCCTGGATCCGCTCCACCAGCCCCATAGGCTGAATCCTGATTGTCACACATGGACACACAAAAGCACACGAGGAATTAAAAATTACACACACTTTTAAAGTCTGCTGTTGAAGTAGAGCCTACAGAGTCCATCCGTGTCCGGGTGTTTCGGTTCTGAAGGGGAAAAACAAATGAGGAAATCCCTCATTTGTTTTATTTCCAGAACTTGACGCTTGAAATGTGGATCATTTGTTAATTTAGATAGTGGGGTAAATCAGAATTTTTAATTAGGTTAGGAGGGAATGCGTCTGAAGATGATATGTTGCGAGCAAATAATTAATTTGACCTGACCACTGTAGCCTGAAATCTGCTGGCATATTAATCAGGAAGTGATTAATTAAGCCGAAAGCACAAAGAGAATAGGTTTGGGTTTGAAATGTGACTCATGCTGCTGCCTTGTACTCCAACCTCAGATCATAATCTGTAACATCTTTACAGGCACAATGCAAAAAAAGCTAAACGTTTTTTAGGGCTGACATTTTTCTTTAATCAATAATGAATGCCAGATTGGTATTTCTTTTGCCAATTAAAAATAGAAATATGAACATTTTATTCAGGCTGTAAGAAGATACAACTAACATAGATACAACTAAGATAGATTTTGAGGAGGTAACAGGAAACAAGGATTGAGGGAAACTAAATGTAAATCTCTTTTATGCCATCAGCTATTTTTATGGAAACATGTTGCATTTTGGAAATGTTGGCAAACCATTGGAAGTCTTGAAGTCAAGATACAGATCTCCATTATCTTAGAAAACTCACTGCTCTGGAGCGAGTCTGAGGCAGCGGCCACAGCTCTTTTATAAAAGCTCAGCTGGGAGGAGCAGAAATTCAGCTGGTCAGCTATGTGCAAACTCAAACTAATGGAATAATTGAGAAATACATCATGTGTGGAAATAAACTGTTTCATTTGTATTCAAATTTTGTTTTTTCCATTTACTCTTAAGCGCCTAAGCCAAGCAAAATAAATAAGTAAATGAAAAGACTTGCTTCTTTTCCACTCTGTTGGTTGTTTGCTGTAGAAATTAAACAATACATTTCTTGCAGTCAAAAGTAATCAACAGAAACATGACTAGTCAAGTTTTACTCATCACTCATTTTTGCTGTATGCTCACATTTTGGGAAAAAAATGTCCCAAGAGGGAAAAAAAAAAACTCAAACACATTAATTTAAAAAATTGTATTCTTTTTTTAATAAACTTGCAAACGACTTTTAAAGTCAAGAGAAAAACAATATTTAGACAGATTTAAAAGCGGGTATTCTGCTTCCATACCCTTAGTATCACGTAATGCAACTGAATTTAAAACAAATAATCATTTTTAATTTCAAACCTCAACTCATCAACACAGGATGTTAATGATGGCCACTTCCTGTGCTGCAATAGGTGAATATTCACTGACGTAACAACTGTATTTTGGGGTATCGTTAACATTTTACATTGACATATTAAACTAAAGCTCTGTTTTCATTGAGGCTGATGCGTTATCATCATTGCGCATTTGTGTTTATGTAGAATAATGAATAGGAATCTAGCTGCTATTTAATGCACAACTGCACAATCCCAAAGCACAAGTGCTTTGCATACACAGCCTGGACATCAAGCCGAAGCTAAACTTCTTTTTTATAATCAACTACCTTGACATTGCAACAGGTCAGGACAGGTTAATGACCAGCTACATAAATGAACAGCCATGCAGTCTTCCATTGAAGATTACGTCTGTTCAACAGGGTCGCTTTTGGAGAGCAGAGAAGAATCTTAATTAGTTTCTCTAAAGTGAGTAAAGTTTTTCCATTTCTAATCTAACGGGTCAAACCGACTCTGTGCCATAAACAATGATTTCTTTTCCCCAACAAAGGTATTTGGCCTTTGTCACTAACATTTCCAGTTTAGTCCCTGAGAGGCCAATTATACTGTAAGATGTATGTGGCTGAGAGGATATCTGCTGGGCAAACTGCAAAGAAAATTATACTGTGGTTGTAAAAATCATTGTGGGGAGAAAAGTACTTTTTTTTTTTTTTTTAAAAGCAGAGGTTGAGGTCAAGTGAGGTAACGCCATTTTTCAGCCCATATTCAGCAACAGATACCAGACTCGATTGCCATATCAGTTACTGTAATATCTCTTTGTACATTATTTGTTGTGTTAATGTGTCAGGAGGCTTATGATGGTTCATTTCACGCCTGTGAAGAACAAGGTAAAAGTCTTCAAAGAGGAAACTAATCACTGTGAAAAAAAATGTTAGTTGTATCTTCTTAGGAATGTGAGGAAGTAAAAAAAAGAACCGTGAAAATGATGTTTTAATCTCTGTACATACTAATGTTTGCATGACTGCATTAGCTAGCAGTCAGAGTTTGAAATCCTCCTGATCCATTGCTTCAAACATTTAGGAATTAATCATGTTTATTGCTTTTGACATTGTAGAAACTCTTTTACCGGACAGCAACTGAAGTTACTCTGTTTCACAGTTTTTAGTACCGATCATGCTTTAATATTGGTAATTTATAACCAACCGGATCAAAGCTGCTTCAGCAAAGAGGCAGATGGTGCTTGTGCTTTTCCAGACTGTCAATATTATATGAAGATATAAGGTGCAAATATATGATTGGAAATTATGCATCATTTTGTAAACAAGGGAGGGCATTAGTTCTGCATCTTTTCACAGCATCCACCTCTGATAAAGTGTCTTTCTATTATTAACAGGCCAACTAAGTTTGCCTTTTGATTTGACTTGAAACATATTTGTTTCCACATTTGAAAGACATTTGGAAATCTTCAGTTTCAAGTTGTAAAGTAAACATCCTCTATTCCACTATTGCTAACGGCACCGTTTGTGTCTGTGTTGTCCCTTACCTGTCCAAGGCCACACTGAGTTCGTCCAGCCTGTGGGTGTCAGTGGCGTTCCCCAACTTTGACAGCGCATCCATTCTTTTCATAATCATCTCCAGCATGTCGCTGATTTTCCTCAAAACCCCTCGTGATTCCTGGCCACTGAGAACTGAAACATGATGCAATGAAATTGAAAAATGTTCACAAATAATACAGAAAGCAATTCAAAATGATGATAAAAAAAACACATAACAGAACAAAGGGTAAATTATTTAGTATATGAAATTCACACTTTGCACTCGCATTTTTCAAAAGTCAGCTCAATTTATTTTATTTGTGTGGAATGGTACTTTATTTTTAAATAAACAAGTACAATTCAAATCCAGTTTAAATGGCAGTAATACATTTAGTCTACGTTTAATCTGATATAGATACAATGCAACTTCATGAAATTAATTTTAGGATATGATAAAAAGCCAAGTTGTGAAAAGTTATCAAAAGATGTAAAAACACCAGGGAGAATTCATTTTTCACTTTGATCCCACGTTCTGAGAAAGTGAACGCCAACAGCAGGAAGCAGTTTAACAGGATGAATCTGCAAGAGCCTCCATCTGCCTCAAAGCAGCCAGAGGTTGGGAGGACATAAAATCAGAAAACCACAGATGTTACTGGTAACTGTATCTGGTAATTGATCTACATGGAGCCATACATTGACATGTATGAAAAGGCAGCCATCATTGCACCGTGTACTCCAGCTTTTATGCCTGTAGCGGGATATAACTGAGGCACTGATCACTCAAGCAAGCTTGATCAAAAACAAAAGTATAAGCCAGAAGTAAAAATTGAAAGTCTGCCTCTGATTGAAACTGAAAGCTGGATGCACAAAAGTCAAGCCTCGTGATTGAAGAACCTGCCTTGGAGCTTAGTCATTAAGAGCAGCATATGTGAGAAGAAGAACGTTATGCTCTATTCTAAATTTAACAGAAATGCAATAAGGAGGAATATTTTTAAATACATAAGTCTTAGCAGAAGGTCTTTTGTTGAGTTTTAAACATATTATGAAAATAAAGGTCTAAGAAAGTATCAGTCCATCCTACAAGTTATAATTATAAACATGCAAATATAGGAAGCCTTAACAACACTTCACTTTTCCCCCATTTTATGAGACAAATTGTTAAATATGCCTCTTTCCTTAAATTGTACACACAAATAAATACCCATTATAACAATTTCCACATAAAAAAATGACAAAGGTTGCATCAATTTAAAGAGGAGAGGTGAAATATTCCAACGAGAATGATACCAAAAGGTTGCAACATAAGTGACATTTTTCTAGTTTATACAATGGTCTGTCTTTTTATTTGAACTTCTAGTTCAAGTTTTCGCCCATTAAAAATGTTTTAGACTCTAAAATTGTTGCATTTCTTGCTATGGCACGGAAGACTCACGGAAAGCCCAAAATTAACCTGACATTTCCACTTATTATTTTCATTTGATTATTCAAATTTTAATCTGTTTGTTCCCAAACCACAACAAAAATAAGTCCACATTTTAAATAAATCATTTTCAGATGTTAATTTACCGCGGTTTACCTTTACAAGTCAATTTTTCAATTATCCGTCTCCCTCATTATCAAACAGAGCAAAACCCTGGGAGCGGATATGCCAGCAAAACAAACGAGTCTGAAAATTATTCTGACAATACAAGATATTCCGTCCTCTCTGTCCCAAATTAATAATGACCAGGCTGGAGGTAAACCTACAGTAAATCGCGCTCGATACAAACACTCACTCCCTAAACAAGCCCGTAGGCACAAATAATAACATCAAAGCCGTTCCTTTCTCTGCATCATTAGTGAGTCGAGGTTCTGACCCTATTTCTTTTTGTTCACCGAGCGCCGAGCACAATTAACGACACATCTGATTCTGCTGTTGTGACAACAGAGCAATAGAACTTGGGTTGCGACACGCAGATATAAAAAGAAAACGGGAAAGATTAGCAACAGGTGGGATAAATTATCTGAAACATTTTGGAAGTAATCTGATAAAGTCTAAACCAAAAGTGGAAGACTCTGGAAAAAAGTTTGAATATTTTTTATCAAATAGATTTAATTGAACAAGATTTAATTAGCTTATATGCTACCATTAAACAACTTTCAATTGTCTGATTTAGGCTATTAACTAATTAAAAAACAGAACAACTTGTATTTGACAGTCAAATTTTGGAACACATTTTTAAATCAATACGTTGACAAAGAGTCAGAAAAAAACAAAACATCTTAAGATGCTTATTGCAAAACATCTTTTGCTTAAATTAATAACATTGAGTGGAGGAATTTTTAATAGATTGATAACACAGTTGTGGAAATTCAGATAGTTTGCATGTTTCTAAAAATGTGACTACTGCAAATACTTTTGTCAAAACCTTTGCTCATGTCAGATTTCACGTTGATCCCCCTTTTCATACCTACATTTCACAGCAACACATTGATATTTTATTTTTTCTATTTCAATTTCACGCCTGTAAACAAGCCACTTCATATCCATGGGGAATAGAACACTTAAATGTAATTAATTGTGTAATATTCACCGAAAATTTGGTGGTGTAAGCTATTTTCATTTATTTTGCTCCAGGCGTGTTAAACTAAATAGTTATAAAATTATTTAAAACATGACCTCTGATCATACCAAAAACAAGAAGCAGAAGTAGTGAGTGGACAACTAGAATACAGAGAAAGTGTTGGCGCTGCCAGGATCTCAACAATACATAATGCAATATGTGGGACTTGAGTAAACCTCTGGTCTGAGATTTTGAGGAGAAAAAAAACAACAAAAACAAATAACAGCTTCATATTGTTTCTAAAAACAGAGTGAATATGAAGCCCAACTTTTGAGTGCTCCCTCATCAATTGCATTAGGCTGCAAAAACTGCAGTGTCTGCAGACTCACTTTCTTTGTCAGACCTCGTTTATCATCGGCCGAGCAAAAGTCACCTTTCTCCGGAAAGCAGAAATTGTATTAAATCACCGGTAAATAAAATCAGGAGAGAGAGAGAGAAAGACAGAAACACGCCTCTCTGCGATTGCAACACGTGTGTTTGGGACCTTTAATAAAGGCGCTGCGCTCAGTATCATGACTGATATTTACAAAGAATATTGCAATGATCTTAGGCCACTTGGATATTCCATGGATTTTCTTGGACTTGTTTTGCCTGTGTTTTCTTTTAAAGCTCTGTTCTATGTGGTAGCTTCAGTGTTTTAAATTATTCAGCAGTTGACAACAAATTTTTATTCCATGGCCAGAGAGAAAACCTAAATGTATTCTGTAAAAAAAAAACACATTTAGCAGAATAATGATTTGAGGGGAAAGAAGGAGATGATTTCAAAATGAGAGCAGGGTAGAGAAAATGTTTTCCTCTTAGACGTTCTTAGCCGACAAGAGAGCATTCTTGATATCTAATTATATCAACAACCAAATTTACCAAACTAAATGTAACACAATGTTCTTGTGGACAATTTGAAATCCACGGCTAGCAGTAAACCCAAATTAGGAGCAACACAAAGTACAGCTTTAGAACAAATTGTTATATATGCTGTGCTCCACCAAAGTATTTATAAACTTTTGCACATTTTGTGATGTTAGCACAACAAATTCCACGGGATTTTTAGAGGCCGATTCTGTGACGCACCAAAGCTAATTTGTGTACATTATGTGGTAATGAGAAGAGAATGATATAAAGTGTTGCTTGTAAAGGTAAACAGTCAAAAATTAACAGCAATATTTAGCTTGTAATAAGAGAAAAAACACAAAAGGTTAATTTTTCAAAGGTTTTTTTCAGCATGTTCATTAATTTAGAAACGCCACTGTTTCAAGCTACATATTAATTTGCAAGCAAACTAAATATTTACTGTAGTTAGAAAACTAAATATTTAGTTTGCAAACTAAATATTCAGGTCATGTGGTGGTTAAAATCAGTAAAGTCTCTCTGAAAGCCCATTACCAATCACACCGTGCCCACACACTGTAGGACCAAACATGTTATAATCTTCCATCATCATGTTTGGCTTCTCTCTGGATTTGAAAATCAACCAATAGTTTTAAAATCTCGCTGTGTGAATGAGGCAGTTCTTGCATAATGTTTTGAAAAATGCCAACTCGAAAAGTGGCTTTACTGAACCCATACATTTTACTTTTACTAGTCATTTTATTTTTTTAAGTAAAGAGACTATCACTTGATAGTCATTGAAACATTGAAAATAATTTCAATGTTTATTTCTTCCTATTTTGATGTTATGTGGAATGTGTTTCTATTCTATTTGAAAATAGCTGAAATTTCACAATTGCTGAAAATTTTGCTCATTCGTTCACAAAATTTCTTTAAAAAAATAAATCAGAGAATACCAGCAGTTTCTTAACGCCTGAAAGGCTGCTGTGTACATTTCCAATGAACAGTTTATCATCTCATTATTTATCTCAGCTGTCTCTAGATGATGAGAATATTATCTTCTTTTAATAGTGATTTGAAACTGATGCTGAGAGATTATTACATAAACGATGAGTTTAGGATTCAATTTCCGAAGTACTGCAGCTTAGTCAATATCACAAATATATTTCAATTAGATAAACATCTGTACATTAACTGGTATTCTCAACAAGCCGTCTTGCTGACATTAAAACTGTAATTTTCTTTCATTTTTATCAATATTCGTTTTATTCCTCTCAAGCATCCAGTTCCCTCACTGCTCTATTTGTTATTACTCAAACATTTGTTCCCTATTAGGCTTTCAGGCTTGTCCTTCGGGTATTTCTATAAACCTTTCAGCGTTTATAGAAAAGTGTTCACATGTCTGGGGGCTTTTAATGAGTCAGATCCAATCCAAACCAAGAGTTACGCCAGTAAAAGATGGCTCTGTTTACGTTTTCTTTATGCTTCTCACAACCGAATTCAAGATCAGTATAAAATATGTATTTATTTATTTTTTTTATTTTAAGCATCATCATTTTGGTGCCACTGAATCTTCATTGAAAATCTTTATTAATTAAGAAAAAAAAAAGAAACAAGTTTGCCCATAAAGAGAGTAAGATTTATGAAATAGAGTATTTGAAGAGAGCAGTTGTCTCTAACTTGGGTTCTTAAATGAAGAATCATTTTATGCCTAGTGGTCTGGTA